AACGGATCAGTTCGTGCACATCCATGCAAGGCTCTATAATGATCCCTTTTCTTCTTTTTTGAGGGTAGAAAAGAAAGCACCACATTCGAACGCACAAACATTCCTTTGTTTCCAGTGGAAGGTGAATGGAAGGCAATGAGATGAAAGAAAACACCATCCTTAGAAAGGCAATAAATGCAAAGAGCCATCTGAGGGATGCACCCAGTTCCTCTGAGATGGAACAAAGCTGTGACTGCCTGGAAACTCCCATCCAGGCAGTGAACCTCACTCTGCCCATGAAACACCTCTGTTTTCCCTGTGCTTTATCTCACTTCTACATGGAATTGCAGATGTGGATGGGAATCAGTCAATTGAGGCATAGCTGGCAGCAAAGGCTCTCCAGACCTTTGAGGAGATGTCCACAGATGAAGTACAGAAACATGCAGTGCAAGCAAGGTTTTCTGAGTCTAGATTCCAGGAAGCAAACAGCATCATTTAACAAAAGGACTTTGATGACTCAAGGATGTTGGTGGCAAATGGGACAGAGGTATCCCATGTCAAAGGCTGGTTTCTTCTTAGCTGGAATTTGGGCACAAGGAGAAGCCAACAGCAGAGCAAAGCAAGGTGTTTGGAGGGTAATCCTGGATTTCCTCAAGGGTTTCCAACCCACAGCTAAAGAACACTCGAGCACAGCATGGAAATGAACCACGGACCCCAAACTGCGTATGAGTAAATGGTGGCTCATTGTAAATAAGGCAGGTGCACCCCAGGGGATGCAGGCCCTGATGAGACTTCCAGAAATGGCACTAAAAATCACAATATGCAAAAACTTCCTTGCTTCTAAAACTCTCAAGTGTTTTTGAACACTCTTGTATGATGCTTTGACTTCCATTGGCAGCTCCAGGAAGGAAGGCTATAAAATAAAACAAAGCACTTTTCTAATCCCCTGATTCCAAGAGCAGAGAGACAGTAAATACTGCAAAATGTGCTGGTGCTGATGTTTGGCTCCAAGCTGCAATGCTAAGGCAACGAGGAAGGCCAGAGTGGAGAGAGAAACCTGCAGCACCAACCCTAAGGAGAACACCATCCATCTTGTGTCCTGATGCCGTGTCACTGCTGCCTGGACCCGAATGCTTCAGCTCAGGGCCGACCTCTGTGTGCACTCTGGGCCCCCTGGGAGATAGCTCAGCATCACTTTCCCATTGTTAGAGCTGGAAAAGCTGAGCAATCTGCTCAAGGGCACAGAGAAGTCAAAAGCAGAACTTGGAGCAGGGTGCAGAAGCCCGGACCTCTGTGAGGCAAGGGAAATAGGGACAAAGTCCATACATGCCACATGCAGATGCTTTCTGCCTCAAATCCAGGTAGGATTTCCATGTGTGCTGCAAACACACTATAGGAAATAACCACTATGAAGCCTCCCTGCTCTGAGTCATCACTGAACACCTCCATAGGAAAAATCACCCAAACCTTGTGCTGCTGCGTGTGGCTGCAGCTGTAAGCTGTGAGTTTGCACACTGTAGCAATTATTTTGGCATTTCTATGCCAAAAATGGGAGGATCCACCCTTTGCTTCTTGACTTTTCAGTGTTGTTTTCTCCCTTTTCCTTCAGCCTCTGGAAACCTCCAGGAGTTGCAACGATAGCAAAAAGGGAAGGAGAGGTTGGGCTCTGTGGACCACAAGCTCCCACCTCCCTCCCACACATACAGTGCACAGACCCAATTGGCTCCAGGATACAGCAGAAGGATGGGAGGGAGAAACCCTGGTGCAATTCCCAGCCCTTACAGGCACCACAATGCAGTGCTGCAATGGTACAGGATGCTTCTGCTTCCTTGTGTGTGCGTCTCCTGGATAAACAAACCCCTTTAGGAACATCAAAAGAGGCACTTGGCACTCTGAGAAATGTCTTAATGAAGGTGACGGCAGCGTGGAGCGTTGCAAATCCAAGGCAAGAGAGCACATGCTTAATTAGACCAACTCCTTTCTTCTCCCTTCGGTTCTGCTTCCCATGGCCTCAGCCTCCCCACTGGGGAACGTCCTGCAGCACAGCCGAGCCACACACAGTGGGCACAGCAGCCACAGGCAAGCTCAGCACAAGGATTAAAGCTCAGCTCTTCACAATCTTCCTTGTCCTGCTTTGTGCAGAGGCTCTGGCTCAACCCATCTCTCCTCTCCCTCCTCCTCCTCCCTTCTTTTTGGGGCTTGGACTGGGGAGGGAAGGAGGATGCTGCGCTTTCGGAGCAGGCAGCAGCTCCATGCAGCAGCATCATTGGGCATGCAGGGCCCATGGCAGCATGCCCAGGAGTTGGGATCCGGAGCATCCTTCCCTTCTCTGCCCTCATTTCAGTCTCTCTCACTGCTTCTGAGCCAAAATTCAGAGGTGCTGCTGGATTTGCCGATTTTACTCCCTTCCTCCCCACCACCACCACTTCTGCACCTTTATGAGCTGCCAACATAGTTGCCACTATGCAAAGCCCAAAGCACCCAAACATGGGATGCAGGTAATTAACAAAGAGCAAGGCTTGCAAGGACAGGGATACCACATTCCCCACGTTCTGGTCAGCAACACAAACACCTGCTGCCCACAAACCACAGCAGTGCAGAGGGCAGCAGCAGCTCTCACTGCTTCCAATTCCCTTATTTTCCGGGCCAGCTTTCTCTTAGAGGGGAAAATATCACCAAACCAGCAGAGACACAACCACATCTGCCCTGACACAACCTCACAGCACAGAGCAGCACAACGGCACCTCGATATTTGGGCTGTGATATTCCACTTTAAAAAGCCTCTCAGAACACATCCACGGATGGACCCACAGAACGTTGGACCGAAGCATTGTGCTGCCCGGTGGGGAAAAGGGAACAAAGCTCAGGAAATGCTGAGGCTCCTTGAAATGAATGAACAAAGTACAGAAAGGAAATATATAAAATAATGCACTGGTGAATGGTGTCTTCTCTCAAGGAAAAGAAGGAGCTGCTGCTGCATTTCCAAATAAATATTCTCTAAGCTTGGTGTAAGTTCTTATACTACAGGATTTTGTAATGCATAAGAAATTCTATTAAAAAAAAAAAATAGAAAGAAAGAAAGAAAAAGCTTGGAAAAATCTTTCAATATAAATAAACTGTGTTAATAAAGCAGTAAGTGCTGAGAACACCAGGTGAAAGCTCTGCCTCTAACTGCCCCTGGTGGCTATTTCTGGCTTACAAAGCACTCGGAGCATCCTGGCAGACCACAGTGGGAAACATAGCCCAGATGCAGGAGGATGGTCACTCATCCAAACAGCATCTCCTAAGGCTTATAAGGACTTCACAGTCACACCTACCAGCAACCCATAGCCTCTCATAAGCAGTAGGAAGAGAAAAAAAAAAAAATTGAAAAAAAAAAAAATAAAAAGTCAACCCCCTGAAAGCTTTGTTCTATAAATAAAGCTGTTGTAACACGGGTTTTGTATTTCATTATCTTTGATAGCAGCTGGAAATACAGGAAAGTCACGGTGCAGAGACAGCACTGCAGCATCACAGAGTGCCCCAGTGCTGCACCACACCCATCACCCATCACCTGGGTACCACTGCCAGCATCACAGCAGGCAGCCATGGGGCTCAGATCAACCAAAAGCCTGTAGCACATAGCAAAGGGATGCCGGCATCTCAGCATCACCCAAGGGCCCCGCAGGCTGACGCCACAACCAGCTCCCCCCTGCTCCTCCCCAAGGTGTTTGCTGAACAGAAAGCAATTGGTCATTATGGAACTTGAAAAGGATTTAGAGCCCTCCAAAAGAGGTGGTGTGTATGGAGCAGAGCTGGTGAACATCCTTTCGACCGTCGTCAATGAATGAGCAGGAGTGCTTTCCAAAAAGCAAAAGAAAGCAAATCAAAATGAAATGGAAAAAAAAAAAATAATAATAATAAATAGGGTATCTTTGATGGAGAAAGGAAGCGGGCAGGAGATGGCACACATGGGAAAGGGACTCCATGCAGCTCTGCGTGCCAAACGCTTCCCCATCCAGCAGCCTGGGCAGCCAAGGAGCTGCTACGAGGGGCTGATGGCTCGAGTTCAGTATTGCAGCCCTCGGGCTGGGTTTCCAGCAGCACACCTGGGCACGCTTTTCCAAGCGGCCCGAACCTGAGAGCCTGTGTTCCTCCGAAAGCAGGTCTTGATGTCGGGTTTCACCCGGAGAGACTGCAAATGGGATGGGCGAAGCCACGAGCTTACAGAGGTGCATCCCCTTACGGGGGGCTGCAGCCCGATCCGTCCGCACCGGCAACTGAAAAGCAAAAGGGCCGCTCGAGCAGATGGAAAAGGGCGATCTGCAGCGAGAGGAGGCTGCTCTGCCGGGCTTCTCCACGAGCTACTCTCGCTGCTGGGCACCGAAGCGGGCGGGGGTCCCTTAGAGAGGAGTCAGCCCCGTGCACATCCCCCGTCTCGGGGATCTCGCAACCTCCGCCAACTTCCCCGGCCGGAGGCACCCGCAGCTCCTCCGCAGCATCGTCGGGAGCGGAGCATCGCTCCTCGGCAGCCCAGAAAGGAGCGGAGGAAAAGCCGGGCTGGCTGCCTCCGCCCTCCTCTCAGGCTCCGCCGTTCCGGCCACCTCCCCCAGCAGCACGGGCTGCGCCCCGGTGGGAGGCAGCCTTGAGAGCAGAGGATGCTGCTTTTTCCCCCGGCCCAACCTCCTTAACACTTTGCCTGCCCCAACTTCGGGGGGAGCCCGGCCGCACCGAGGCGGGGGTACAGAGGGCAGGAGGGGCCTCAGCCCGCAGCTCGCAGCCGTGTTACCCCCATCCAACCCGGCCTCAGCCTCCGCTCACCCCTCCGCCTCTCCCGAGCCCAGAGAGATGCGGACCCCCAACCCGTGGGCTCCGGCCGCGCTCCCCCAAGAGTGGGACCCGGCCGTTCCGACGAAGAAAGTTGCAGGCAGGGAAGTTCCGAGTTCGCACCGCACCGGGGGATGTGGCCACCTCGCTCTGCCCTGCCCTGCCCTGGGGAGTCTCGGTAGGGGGGGTATCAGGGGGTGGGGGGACGCACCTACCTTCAGCTATCGCCCTCTTCATCTTAGGGGTCGGGGAAGGCACGTCTGGAGGCGCAAAGTCGAGCGGCGGCGGTACAATCCTTGAGAAAGCGGAGCAGGTCCTCGTGCAAAAACTTCAGCCCGAGCGCGGAGCGGAGCGCGGGGAGGGGGCTCTCCCTGTGCCGGTGCCCTCGCTCATCGGGGGAATGAGCAGCCCCCGAGCTGGAGTCAGCATCCAGGCGAGGCTCCCCCTCCCTCCCTGCCCGCCCGCCTGCCTCCTCCCTCCGTCCTCCCTCCCGCCCGCCGCACGCACGGGGCCGGGGCCGGAGCTGCGGCGGATCCCGCGGAGGCAGAGCCGGAGGCGGCGGAGGGGAGCGCGGAGCCTTGCAGCGGCGGATCCCGGGAGCGAGCGAGCGGGGCGCGGGGCTTGGAGAGGCGATGAATGTTTTATGGGATCATGTGGTTTGACGTGAGAGGAATCAGCCTAGCTCGGATTTACTGGCTGGAGGAGTGAGAGGGAGGACGGGGGAGACGGGCACGGGATGGAAGGAAGGAAGGGAGGGAGGGGCCGCTCCGGGGGCAGCCGGAGCCTTTCCGACGGCGGCGGGTCCCCGCGGTGCCCGGGCAGGGCGGTGCGGGGCCGGGAGGCTCATTCCTGGAGGAGAGGTGCCACCTAAAGGATGCCGCGGATAGGGCCGGCCGGGCGGCTGCGGGCATCGGGCCGGTCGCTCCCCCGCCTCCAACCGGCAGCATCTCCGGGAGCCGCCCGCAGCCCGCAGCGCACGGCACGGGGCTCACGAAAGGATCCGGGCGCTCCCGAGCCGGCTCCCATCCGGGCAGGTCGCGGAGGCACACGGCTCGGCTCTGCCGCAGGGCCCGCTGCCGGGGTTCGTTTCTGTTGCTGTGGGGTCACTGCGTTCCCCGGGGAGGCCCAGAGAAGGCAGAGTCCCCATCTCCACCCCTCCACCTCTAACCAGATCTCATCCCACCCGCGTGCTTTTGGGATCGTTCTCCTGCGTGATGCAAGGAGAAGAGCTTACCTCAGTTTACCTAAAAGCATAATATTTACACTGGTTGGAGATGAAACAAAGTGAAGGTGGTTTTCTATCCTCATCCCTCTCACTAGTTTCCCTGTCCTGGAGCAGACAGTGCTTACTGCATGGGCAACTCCCATCTGCAGCTATCCTGAGGAGCAGGAAGCCAGATCTCATTAAACTGAACTCATTTGCTCAATGGGCAAAGGAGACAGGAAGGATGGTGCCAGAAACAGCAGAACATTTTGAACATTTTGAACAGGAAGACATGGTGGCTCTGGCTCTGCTAATGGGAGGTTTCAAACTGCTACCTGTATATATGCATGTGTGTATGTATATATATGTATATATATATATATATATATATATACACACCTATAGATATAGATAGCAGTTACCTATATATGTAGGGGTATGTATGCTATTGAATATTCATATCTCTCTTATGACTTGCCACCTTTATCTTGGCCATCTCCACAGCTGCTTGCACCCAGGGCTTGTGCTGCAACCACATTCTTGAAGGTCTACCCAGTTTTCTCTGTAGGTATGGTATCAAATGAGTCAGGAAAATGGTACAGTGTCTCCTCTCAGCCAAAGACCTTCAATGCCTGCAGTCATCTGTGGAGAGAGAGAAGAAGAAAAGAAAAAAAGAAATGCAACCAAAGGAAAGTTCAATTGGGCATCTGAGCCAGCTGGAGGGCATTTATTAAGAGTGGACTCTAATTAGGCAAGCAGCCTCAGCTGTCCACAGGCATCTGGGTTGTGTGCCTTCCAGATGTCTTCTAGATACGTTTTGCTGTCATTTTACCCATCATCCACAAGCAAAGTGTAAATGTGGAGCTGGGGAAAGGTTCCCTTTGGGAACAGTGTCAGATCATCAGGTCAGCTGCAGCTGGCAGAGCTATGTAGGGATCCCTCAGATGGTCTCAGGGACTGCAAACAGAGCAGTGTATCTTGGCCAAGCTGTGGGAGTACAGCTTTATTTTTTACAGTGCCTGGGGCTTTTTGGCACCATGTCATCACCAAGTCATAGAAGTGCACAAAGCTGGGGAGGTTCTGAAGTGGCTGTCATGTTCTGTTGCAGTTCAAGATTTAGAGGCCAAGGTAGGACCTGAGCACCAGACAGCCTACAGTATGGCTCTTCTCCAGAACCTACCTCACATGCAGGTCTTTCAGGGCACCAATAGATAAAGATGAATCTGGCTTTCCTCAGGACAAGACAGAGCCTCCCAAATGTAAATGTAGCCCCATTCTTATGCAGTAACACTCACTGTTGGAGGCTTAAGTTTTGGGGACAGCTGGGGAACAGCTGGAAGCAGGATGTGCTTTGAGGGATGTCCTCACCTTGACTTTGGACAACGCCTGTGCCAGGACTAGATGTGTGGGGTCCTGGGGGCAGCTCCTTCCCTAGCTTGGCTCAAAGGCAGGGCATTGCCTCCATCCCATCCCATCCCATCCCATCCCATCCCATCCCATCCCATCCCATCCCACCCCATCCCATCTCATCCCATCCCATCCCATTCTTCTCTACTCAACTTGCTTTGCATACCATTTCCTCTACTCATTCTGCATAAGGACAATCTCCAGCTGTACTCCTGCCCATGTCGACTCCCAACCTGCACCCAATACAGTGCATGCTGCCCAACCCCACCCTGCACCATACAGCCCCTCTCTTCTCTGCCTGTCCTGCACACATTGCCCCAAAATTTTTGAGAACATGCTGTCTAGGGAGTGCTGTGCTCTCAATTTCTAACCCTCCTGGCCCAGATGGAACCATGGCCTATTTAGCAGTTTGCTGTCTCCTTTGGGTCCTGTGACAGGTAGCAGATCTGTCCTGAAGAAGCAGATGAAAGAGTTTTAGGTCTAAAGGAAAGGTGAATTCTGGCAGTAGACACAGAGTCCTTCTGCTTTCTGCTGGTAGAATGCTTTGTTGATTTTTGGACATCTGGGGAGGCGAGGAAGGATGATCCCACCCTGCCCTACTCTTTCTTCAATGACAGTCCAGCTCCTGCAAGTCAGCAATATGCTGCTTCTCCTTGTTAACACACCTCTAAGCACTCGTGTTTGAGTAGTGCCCTCTGACATTGCCATCCCAAGCAGTGCATTGGGAAAGAGGGGTCGCCTACATGCAGAGCATGAAGATCACTGCAGATAAAAGGACCTTGGAGCTGGAATTGTCTGGGGGAGAGCAGGAAAGTGAACACAGGCAATGAAGGAGTTAACTGAAGCTATAGTCACAAGGCCAAAAATTACAGGTTCTAACACCAAGGCAGCAGGTTGTATGCGGCTGTTTGGCTGACATTTCTGAAAGGTTAATCTTGAAGTGGAGAGAGCACATCCACAGAGTGCTGGGCCTGACTTTTCTAGCAGATCCCTGCCCCACTTTGGGCTGGTTTAAGACCCAACAGTCTGTAGCACACAGGACACCATGAAGGAACGTGGTGGCTGTGACCCTGGCATGCAAAGTGGTTCACTCTAGTGCCAGCTGGCTTTCCAGTCTCATGTTATAAGACACAGGAGGATCTTCCCTCTGTGCCTGGTGGACATTTGTGCTTTCCATTTCCCAACATGGCTAAGCACTGTCTAGCAAAGAGAAAGAGCCTCCCAAGCAGGCGATCTCCTGGGAGATATGAGGTGGCTCGCAATTACAGCGTGAGGAGTTCTGTGCAGCTCATTTGCAGCTTGGAAAGGAGCCAGCATTCTCAGATCAAGAGACACCTTGCTTTGACTGGATAATTACAAGATCGTCTCTACCTAGCACTTAATCACATTTAGATCAGTTCTCTTCCTTGGATCGTGAGTATTGTTTGCAAGGCTTTGACTAGCTGCTTGCTCACTCATGTGACCACAGTGGCTGGAGCACAGTTGGAGCAAATTCCTGAGTCTGAAGGTGATGAGAAGAAGGTGGAGAGCCAGAAGGGGAAAATCACATTTTAACACATGTACCAGGGGAACGCAGCACCTGCACAGTGTATTCCCATTGATTGTCTATGCACTGAAGTCTTCTACAACTCAAGAGCTCCCTACGGCTGGGCCCTGCTCCCACAAAGAACCATTTGGGTAAGAAGCTTTCAGTTTTCACTTTTGCCTTTGCAGTGAGCACAGATTGCTCACTACCTGCGTCCATTTGTACAGCAGGAGGACAGTGGGTCAGACGGAGCAAAGTGGCCTCTGACCTCCCAACAGTGCCCCGAGGTTCCTTGACATGTTCCATGTTCTTCTTGCCCTCGTGTCCATAGGTGGACACCCATCCTATTGTCCTTTGACACTTGGACTGCATAATCTTAGTGGTCCTTTCCAACGGTAACGATTCCATGACTCTCACTGCAGAACCCTTCTGCCACTTCCCAGGCATCCAGACTTGGCCCAGGAGCAGCTTCACAGTATGACCTTTGCCTGGCTTGATCCACCCAACCCCACCCCATCTCTGTCAACTGTCTCATCTCCTCACCATATCACTTTAGTTCAAGAAAAGGCATTGAACATCTTTATTGTTCTTACATGCCTTGTTGTGTTTTTTTGCTCCTACTGCCATGAAAAATGTACCAGAGCCTTGCAGTGCCTGGATGGGTAAGGCAGAGCGAGAATAGCTTCCCTTCTCTCAGTGCATCCAGCCCCTGCCATAGGCAGTGATTCCCCATGGATGCTGCCTCTCCCAGGAAGGTGAATTATGAGCCTCATCGCTTCTGCTTCGTGATTTCTCTTGGATTTCAGACTTCTTCTGCCTCAGCAATAGGGTCGGCTTGGACAAGTCTCTCCTGTAAATCATCTCAGCTCTCGCTTCAGCCTGACACATCAATCCCTTCTCGTCATGCAGCAAAAGGTTCCCACCTGGTCCTGGCAGTGCTGCCGAGACTGGGACATGCCAGGAATCCTTCAGCACCTCTGTAGGGCTCATCCAGGCATCTCTCACAGACAGCTGCTCGAATTCAGGTCTTAGGGAGACTTAGCTGGATGAGAGCTTGCACGTGGCTCGGAGCTGCCCCACGCTTACTCTGCCCTGACTGTAAAGCAACTGGCAGTGCTGGAAAGCTTTGAGGAAAGGGAAATGCAAAGCCTTAAGAGATGTCTTCCAGTGACTTCCAGGCCAAACAGTTGATTCAGAACAGGGACTCCATCATGGACCTGGGTACAGGTGGGCTCTGCAGAGAAAGACTCTGCATCCCCAGTATCTAGCCTTATCAAGGTCTGCCACTGGATTTCTGATCAGGGTGTA